TCAATTGGGACCAGCCTGGGCAACATAGCAAGACCTCATCTCTACAAAAGAATTAATAAATTAGCTGGGTGTGGCGGTGCATACCTATGGTCCCAGCTGCTGCAGAAGCTAAGATGGGAGGATCACTTGAGCCCAGAAATGAGGTTGCAGTAAGCTATGATCATGCCACTGCACTACAGCCTGAGCCACAGTGAGCCCCTGTCTCAAAAATATATATAAAAATGAAAAATAATTTTTTAAAGCCGAATAATGCTTGACGCTGACATGGATATAGATATAACTTTCATACACTACTGGTAGAAGCACATATTGAACAAGTTGTCTGGAAGGTCGGCTGGCAGTATCTGTCAAATATAGTAATGTACATACATCATGAACCCCTAAGTCCCATTCTTACATCTGTGCCAAAGTAAGTATGCTAACTTAAGCACTGTTTGAATTGGTTAGTAACTGGAAACAGCCCAAAGAACCATCAAAGAGGACAGGTTAAATAAAGAACATCCAAAACAATGAAATACTATGCAGTCCGTGAAGACAATGACGTAAATTTTTGTGTTTTTGTAAAATATCTAAATACAATTTACCACTGGGTGTGGTAAATTTTTGTGTTTTAGTAAAATATCTAAAAGCAAGGTGGCAACTCATGCCTGTAATCCCACACTTTGGGAGGCTGGGGCGGGTGGATCACCTGAGGTTAAGAGTTCGAGACCAACCTGGCCAACACGACAAAACACCACCTCTACTAAAAATATAAAAAAATTAGCTGGGCATGGTGGCACATGCCTGTAATCCCAGCTACTCAGGAAGCTGAGGCAGAAAAATTGCTTGAACCCGGGAAGTCGAGGTTGCAGTGAGCTAAAGTCATGTCACTGCACTCCAGCCTAGGCAACAGACCAAGACCCTGTCTCATTAAAAAAAAAAAAAAAAAAAAAAAGTATCTAAATATAGAAAATAACAAAAGGCAAATTGCATAAGTTTCATGCCATTTTTTAACAAGAGCGTTAACACACACACACTTATGTATATAGAAACTTGTTAAGAATGTACAAGAAACAACAGTATACTTTGACTTTTTTCTTGCATTTTTCTAAAATGAGACAGAATCATCTAAAGCAGTAGTAATTCAATCATCTCTGCACATGAGTTTCCAACACATTAATAGCCACAAGAAGAATTATTTAATTCATGTGATCCATTACATTCAAAATAGTTATTCTTACCAAATTCCTCCTGAACCAAAATGAAGATGCAAATAGAAAAAGCATGTATCAGCCGGGCGCGGTGGCTCACGCCTGTAATCCCAGCACTTTGGGAGGCTGAGGCGGGTGGATCACGAGGTCAAGAGATCGAGACCATCCTGGTCAACATGGTGAAACCCCGTCTCTACTAAAAATACAAAAAATTAGCTGGGCATGGTGGCGCGTGCCTGTAGTACCAGCTGAGGCAGAAGAATTGCCTGAACCCAGGAGGCGGAGGTTGTGGT